GACACAAAAATCATGGCTACTATGTCACACTGCAAAATACAGTGTTGCCTACAGAGCAGCTGCTTGATCATGTCATAAGTTTACCAATCTCTTAAATAATTAATAACTTTTTCCTGTCTAGTTTTACATAGAAACGATCTTCAGCAAAGTTATAGCTGAGAAAATTTTCTATAAGAATGGTTATCGAACTGTTTCGCAGCTCAATATGGAAAAAGAATAGAAGGAAATGAACATAAAGTTGAGATTTTCCATAGTAATTTACATGTAAACTTCAAATGGCTTGTGCGAAGTCTGTTTCTAACCAAATGAGTTGTTACTTTGGGAGGCTAATCAGGACCCGATTTGAAACCATTTAAGCACTATGGAGCGAAAAAGTCAAAATTTGCATCAGTCTAATGAGATATTCGTCTACTACCTCGGTGCTATCTCGGATCTTTGCTACGATATCATTGTTCTCACGGAGACGTGGTTGAATTCACGCACGCTCTCTCGTCAGGTGTTCGACGACGATTACGAAGTTTTCCGGTGCGATAGGAATGCTGCTAATAGCCGGAACGTTAAAGGTGGAGGTAAAAATAATGCTCGTATATGCTTAGAGCAGGTGTGGACGTCGATCAAACTGGGCAATCACACCTTGAGCGATGTACTTTCCTCCCGACCGCATACGCGAGCGTGACCTCATCGAAACCCATTGCCAATCGGTTTTCTCTGTTCTGGATACCGCTAAAGGAAGCGATGAAGTTATTGTGATTGGTGACTTCAATCTCCCGGGATCACTCTGTCATCTATTCCAACGCTTCATCCTCCTTCTGGAAAATTACAGCACAGAACAGAAAGGGAAGTGCAATCAAATCGGTGAATCAAAAGGTGCTTCGTTTTTCTGCTCAACAAGCGATGTATTGTGGTAGCGTTCCACACGGGCTTTTTATGTGCACTCACACTATCATAGGATGCTGCCTATCTTAACTGCAGGCAGAAGATGCCTTCTACCACTAGGTGCGCTAGTGTTTGCAAATGACAAGTGAAGCCACTTTCTGATCCGAAGTTCCACTCCTGTGTTTACAGCTCAGCCACTCTTTCTCAAATCAATCATATTATTTATTAACCAGAACAACCGCAGTTTGGATCTTTGTTTTGTAAGCGCCCAGGACATAGCTCCTTTCTTATGTGAGGCGCCCACTCCTCTGGTGAGACTGGATCGTTACTACTCGCTGCTACTGGTGACGTTAAGTACTAAGCTGATGCACGATTTAAATATTTCGCCTGCCCACCATGGTAGTATCATAGAGGTAACTCTAAGACTAGTAGGTCCCGAAGAAACGTGCTCAACTTTTTGGCTCAGCTCTAGTACTATCTTCGGTCCCAAGCTAATCGATTCACCCCTCGAAACATAGGAAAATCAAATAACCCCTCATTTTATCTGTCAAACTTTCATAGCGAATCAAAACAAACATTGTGTAGTACTAGAATTTTGACTAGAATGGGGTACGTCAATCGATTTGCTTGGGACCAATAGGCTAGTCAAGTAGTGAGCCATTTTAAAATCGTTAGTTTCGTATTGATTGTTGGCATTACTCAACCATCACGACATAACGGTCCTTTTTAGGACCACCATAAACCTGTAAAAGAGTATTTTTTGGAAATTTTTCAAGGTCATCAATCAGATGTCAGTTCCCATTTCAAGGTAGAGCTAGAATTAAAGGCTCGCCCACGCAAATCAACATCACCATCACGTAGGGTAAGACTTCCTCTACCCGACGGTAAGGAATTGGGGGTGCAATTTCAAAAAAACCAAAGTCGGTCGCGGCATGAAAGTGGTCTGATTTTGATCCAGAGATGATGGATTTTAATTCTTAATACGCCAATTGATAGGATTTTTTTCTACGAATCTGTTAAAGTTAAGATTTTATTATTTTTCAAATGTCACTATTGAAAATTGCACGGATGGACAACTGTTCTATGTTAATTTAAATTATCACCGATTGCCTGTAAAAAGCGATTTCCCTAATACAAATTTCAAAGTTGAATTGCATCCGGTCTGACCAAACGGGGTGTATTCAATCACTGCGTGGTGAGTGGTGGTGTTCTCCAGTACACAACAAAAGGCTGCCTGCAAGCAGCGAGCGGCAGCCCACATGAGCATCCATAGATGGAGGAAGAAGCCGCACCGCTATTGATCGGAATCAGTAGCTCTTCGTGAGTCGCTGAGGGCCATCTATGTCAAGCGCGTCATACTAAAGAGTATAAACAGAGAGAACCCCGCTCAAATTCCTATTCCTACACAAAACACAAGCTCCTGCTGCAGTTAACAAATAAGATTTATTACATCACCATTGCGTACAACCCCATAGGGTTGTCTATTGTAGTTTTTTGTTTAACTTTATTCGAGATTCTTTAAAATTTCTTCAAGCATAATTAAGTTTTAGACCGGAATTTCAGGAAAAAAAAATGTTCAGGTCTGTGAAAAGTATCTATATTCCAGAACTTGGAAAAAAAAATCACTCAAACCTCTGAATTTTAAAATGTATTTGATCTGATTTAAAATGAAAAAGAGTCTGGCCTCGATCCATTAAGTTCAATGTTTGAAATAAAATAAGGAGGAAAACATCATTCCCGGTCCCTTAAGTTAAGGAATTGGCTAATATAACTCTTTCAACCCGATATCTGCCCATCTCGCTGACCCCTTCAAAATTGAAATATGGAGCATTTACTATATGAAAAAAAGTCGTAGTCAAACTTACAAAAACTAACCGATAAATTTACAAAACATTGAAGTACACAATCTACCACGCCGTGGATAAACGAAAACCAACAACATGCCTATCAAAATAAGCTTCCAACGTATAATTAAAACTCCGCGGCTAGTTGTCCGCACAGCAGCAGCAGTAATGCACCAGAAAGGTTATTTCATCACGAAATTGTGGTGGTACGATAGAAGAAGAAGCCCACTGAAGCGGAAAGAGTTTAATTTACCGCAAAACAGCCCTATATACAGCCACACTTTGAATTCAAACCATTATCAGAGCTGCGTCTCAAAGTTGGATGGAACCTACTTTGGCACACCGTTCGTCAGAACCTATTCTGCGCTGGCTGACTGGCATGCAGCCACCACTACCAAGTTGCGAGATCGTTGAGCTCCGTATTCTCACGATCCAAACCAAGCCGAACCGCTCCGGTGAGCTCTGGAAGTCGACCTATATAAATCGACAATGGTGGTGCAGCTCTCCAGTTCTGTAGATACCGGCATAAACACACTTGTATAGGAAAGATGTTTGTACACAAAAAAATCACATTACCAGCACGGATTCGATGTGCTTTGTTTGGACTTAAATTACATCACGACATGGAATGGTGTATTTGTTTGGGGCGTAAATAGTTTGCTTTTCGTTGCGGGTTGTGAGTAGGATTTTGTTTATCTATTTGCTTACCTGTTCCACATTTTTGGGTGCTACTTTGGTTCCGCACGTGCTCTCGTGTGGAAGGGAAAAGCTATAAAGAGAAGAACTTAAAATCCGGGACTTTTACTTTCCCCGAGTTTCAGAAGAGGAAACCAAGTACCTACCTATTCAGAAAAAAAAATTACCGATTCGTTTACCAGTGGGTTGCCACTGGAGCAATGCTACAAACTTGCTACACCGAGAAAAATGCAATAGCTAGCGAGTAGGTTTGTGTGTAGCGAACATGACATGAAGGGGTAGTAAGGCACCTAAAATCGCAACCAAGTCCGAAACCGCAAAAATAAATTAAACTCAATTGAGCTTGAAATTTATGAGAAATAAACATGGCTCATTGCGAGAAGCCCGACAATTGCGGCAATATACGCTAGAGCGTAGCTCAACAACAAAACAGAACCTGCGAACCATGATGGTCCCTAAGAGAACTGTTGTAGCATTTGAACTTGCTTTGGGACCAAAATTCTGCAGATCAGATAGGAAAGGTTCGGTAGTGAATTCAAATGATTATGAGCATTACAGTTAACAGATGAATGTTATAGTATTGTTTCTATCTTCATGAAAAATGTTGGACTCTAAACAAAGCCGAAAATTCAATTTTTGAGGTTTTTAAAGTCGAACTTTTTGCTATGATGACTTAGAGAAATTTTTTTTTTTATTTAGAATCTGGAAAACAAACAGGTTTTTTTAATTTTCAATATACCTTTTTTGCAATATTTTTGGAAAAATAAAAAAAAAATTAGTTCGGAGTGGTAAGTGTTGGGTAGCCTTTTAAACGTTCACTAAAAGAAGGGAAAACTCCCATTGTTTAATGCGAAATTACCAATAAACTTGTTTGCTCAGGAGCAATAAACTATAGAAAATGATCAATAGACTAATGGAAAGTAGCAATTGAAAATTGATCATTCCAGCTCAACCGTATACAAAGTTGTGATCAATGTCACAGATTGCAAACAAACATTGCCCAAATGCTTATTTTGATATTCAAAGAAAATGCATTTTTTTTTTTTTTTGCTCTAAAGTACTTGGTTCCCTCTGGGCGACAACCCTGCATTTTTGAGATTTAAAGAACACACATATCTTTGAATAGAGTTTACTGAGTGTTCTTGAAAAACTTCCCAGGAAACCAGTAAGCACTGTAATAAGCGTTAAATTTACCATATAACGGCTTTTCAAAGCCTATAAGCTGTATATCAGTTTTTCTAATGCTTGTAGGCACTACGAACCTCAAGCAAGAAAATAGACCCTATATGGGTATATAACGCTATTTTATAGAGATTATTAGCCCTATTGCTATAAGCCGAATACGGTTGTCACCATATTCGTTTTAAAGCTGACATTCTTTAACATTTAACAAAAACAAACATTTCCAATCAAAACAAATTTAAAATGGATGGCAGTGAGATTTGGCAAAAGTTCCTTAAAAGTGGAAGTTACAGACGACAGTTATCAAAATACAAGCGTTTAGAGTTGAATAATAATTGTAAGCCATCGAATAGCAACAGTTTCGCTACGGAATCGAGCCTGAAGGATGAAAAAATTGAACAGGTGTATGCAACCGTCGAGAGTAATCGAAACGATAATGTTGAAGCAGAAGTGAATGACAACTACTCTAACTACGAGCTGGATGTTGAAGAGGTCTTTGAATCAACACTGGATTATAGTCCAGAAGAAGCATCAGATTCTCAGGAGGATGATACCAATGATACTCTGAGTTTAGCCTCTTTCATTCAAAATTGGAGCTTGGAATACAAAATCCCTCACGCTGCTTTAAAACCATTGATAAATCGGTTATGTATCGTAGATCGAACGCTTCCCACAGATCCCCGTAGGTTGCTTGGAACCCCTCGTAAAGAACCAGATCTAGTCAAAATCGAAGGTGGCCAGTATTGGCATCAGGGATTAGGTAAAATATGTCCTTTTTATGCTTGAAACTTCACTAACACTTTTTAAAAACCTATATTACAGATGCATGCCTACGTCGAGTGTTTTGGGATCTCAATCAGTCACGATGTATTTCTATTAACATAAACATAGACGGGCTACCGCTATACAAAAACGGCGCCGATCAAGTATGGCCAATTTTGATGAATATTTTCGATTTACCAGAAATTAAGCCAATGATCATAGGCATATTCCATGGTAAAAGCAAACCTAAATTTGTTGAAGAATTCCTGAAGCCATTCGTGGATGAAGCTGAACCAATTTTGAAATCCAGAATCTCTATCAACAACAATCTGTTATCAGTCAAAATCAGAGCATTTATCTGTGATTCCCCCGCAAGGGCATTTATCAAAGGTAATTACTTAAATTGATTATCTAAATGTAAGGGTCATCATTTCTTACTTGCAGGTTCAGTGAACTTTAATTCGTTTCATGGATGCTTGAAATGCACTACTGTTGGAGAACGTTCTAATGATCTACGTGTAAATGTTTTTCCTGTCTCAAATGCCCCAAAACGAACAGATGAAGGATATCGTAACCGATCATATGGTGAACATCATCAAGTTTACAAAGTTCGAGAAAATGAAAAACTTAAAAAGATATTCGTCGCAACGCCTCTTCTCCGTTTGCCTATTGACATGGCTGAAGACATAATTGTGTCAGACTCGCTGCATCTGTTACATTTAGGAATTACAAAAAAACTGCTGAAAATTTATAAAGAAGGTCAACCACACTACACAAGGTGGTCAAAAAACACCGCCGAAAGCATAGACACCATATTAAGCAACATAAGGTTGCCATCAGAAATACATCGCAAAGTGCGAGGATTGCGTTTTCTTTGCCATTGGAAGGCATCAGAATGTGCCTCATTTCTCACTACTCAAATATGTTGTTGATAAGCAACAATACGAAAATTTCATTAACTTGTTCTATGCCGTCACAATTTGCTCGATCGAATACTATAAAAAATATCTACCTGTTGCTCAGAACCTTTTTATAAAATTTATTGAAAATTACAGCAAGCATTTCCGCATCATTACAAGTAACACACATAACCTAGTCCACATTGTAGATGAGGTTAAAAGATTTGGTCCTTTGCCAAAAATATCTTCATATTCATTTGAAAATCATTTGTATCAAATCAAAAAGATGGTTCGGTCTGGGCGATTGCCGTTGAATCAAATAGTAAACAGAATTTCTGAGAAAAATCAGGACCCATTTTGCAAAAGCCAGATTGATCAATCATATCCTATTATGAAACAACCTTCAAAAACTGATAATGCAAACTTTATGTGTTGTATATTACATGACGGATTCACATTAACAAGAAATTTTCAAGATAAATGGTTTCTATCAAAAGATAAAACAGTTGTGGCAATGAATTTTGCGAACGAAAACGGTATAGTTGGCTCAGAACTTAAACATTTTGAACCTCATATTCAAAGTCCATTTTCGTCGGATGTATTTTATGTTTTCAGAACAGAATCAGGTAATGATTTCAAGCCATGTAAAGTTTATCCATTTAATGACATCTTTTGCAAATTAGTTGCAATACAAATTCGTGAAGAATGTGTTTTTGTACCACTGCATCATACGATAACATCAATTTGAAATGTTTTATTTTATAAAGATCGCAATATAAACTCGTTCCATTTAAGCTTCGGTTTTATTTAGAAGATCACTTTTATATTGTTAAAAAAAGAAATTAAATTCCGTAAAACTTCAGTGGTCAATGACGTGACTCTTCAATTTTAACCCTTAAATGCATAGTGTTGCCATTTGGCAACATAACTATGTAAGTCTTTAAACATAATGAAACAACATTTTAATAGTAAGCGCAATATATATCATAAGAAAAAAAAAATCATAGCAAAAAAAATATCATGCATTTAAGGGTTAAACATCTCGCTGGCAAATTCCTCATAATTTTCCAAAACTTCGTTCTGCCACGACGCACTTTCTGCAGTTTCTTCCAGTGGTCCTTCGTCAACTATCTCATCCGTGCTGCTGCCATTCTCTTTTCTTTCTTCCCAACGATGATCTTCAGTTCTGCCTTCAGCATTTTCCAATCGCCTCCGCTTTCGTGAAACTGATTTTCTTGTTCCAGTCACTTCAGTGAATCTTTGCTTTGCATTTTTCAAGCAGCGATGTAAAAAGATTTTGCAATCAGAAAGCGTATAGTTTGGATCGGAATACACTACAGTTTGGTAGAACAAGTTGATCGTTTTGTCAAATTTCATAAACGGGATTTTTTGTTTCTTAGTCTCACCTTTGCCGGAAGTGCGACTAGTACCCGTCCACGAACATTTGAGCAGGAAATGACGACTAAAAAAATAGTCAATAATTTGAAGGCTCACTGTTGCTCCATTCCCTGTATAACGGTGATGGCCATGGATTCCTCCAATTGATGCAACCGTTGTCTTCACAAAACCCTCATCGCGGCAACTGTCCTCCAAGCTTTCAAGATCTGCCAAACTTTTCACGGGCTGCAGATTTATTTTAGCCAGCTTTACGCTGGAAGTTGTTTTCCCTTGCTGGCATTGCATAGCGGCCAACGCATCCACCTTTGTGTTTACATGCGACAACAACAATAAGCATTTGTTCAGATTCGTGTTGATGCTATCGATTCCTCCGGCAGACTCATCCGGCTCCGTCTGCGTGGATGAATTTTGAATCTCTAGTTTTTCAAGGCTATCCCTTCCTTCCTGCTGAATGGCTTCTAGCAATGCTGCAGCTGTGTCCTTATTTGTTTTTGCTTTTTTACCAGACATCACTGAGGAAAGAAACAAACTTGAATAATATTTTGAAAATAAAATAGATTAATGTCAACTAAACTTACCTATCGATTTAAAAACGACACAGAGCAATCCGAACTCCCAACTGACGCGATGGATCAAACGGTAAACGCACTGGGAAAACACAACCACAATCAAATCAATGCAAGTTCGAGCCTGGACGTGCAGCAAAAAAAAATAAAAATCCATTGATGGGAGGACTGCAGTGAAATTGGACGAGAATAAGATAGAGATGCACAACAATGCGGTGTGAGCAGTTGAAATGAGGAAGAAAGAGAAAAAGTTATAAACAAACTTTTTCCTCCTTGGTGGTTAAAGAATGAAAAAGGCCAAGCAAAAACAAAACTCTTTTTTTTATTACCATTCTTTTCGCCTCTGAATTGTTTTGACATCACTTCATTGGTGCGGGTAAAAGTGGGGGTAGGCGGCATATCAGCCGAATAATCCGCCAAAAGTGGTTTTTCGGTATCACTCAAATACAATATAGTTCCTCTAGGCACTGTGAACTATGTTCTTTATGCGACTATATAAATGAATTAGTGCCGTTTTTCATGGCTTAGTGGTTTGCTAGGTTGTTTTGATAAACTGATTAAATTCTACATTATTATCCCCTCAAAATGGTTGGTCAAGAACATACATAATTTGTTTTGTTGCGGATTAATCTCTATTCAAAGATATAATGTAGTGGTTTTCCGGCTGTAAAGCTCAAAATTGATTAGTCACTCATCTAGCCTTTATCTCATAAACCATACGTTCAAAGCATTTTCTTTTCGGAACACATCTAGAAGATAGGTTTTCCAATATGTGAAGGTCAATATCTTGAAAAACAAGAAATCTCGCGTGGCATGAAAAAGAGCCTTTTTTGATACTTTTAATACCATTTGTCAACTTGTCACTCCCAACACAGTTTACCCATTTTTGGGTATGTTCAGTTTTGACCGATCTGGGTGGATTCTACCTAAATTTGGGTGTAGCTCGAATATCAAGCTAACAAATTCAAGCTGAAGATTGCATTAGGTCCTAAGTAACATTGACAGATTCTCTTCGTCGACTTTCTCTTTGCATCCCCACGGCCATGTAAAGGTATTTTCAGGTATTTTCAGCACACTGATCGGAAAAAGAAGCTTTCATCTAGCATCTAATACGACAAACTCAACAAGAAACGGTTATGTGCTCAAATTATTAACGAAAGAGAAAGTCGACGAAGGGAATCGATCAATGTTACTTAGGACCTAATGCAATGTCCAGCTTGAAATCTCAACAACTACAATAATTGTTCTTACCAAACCGTGGTGAGTTTGAGTTTCATGATTTTTGCAAATATTATAAATTAATTTATAATATTTGATTTTTGCTTAACATCCGACCGCGACCCAAACCTACTGTCACTGTTGGCAGCAGTACACTGTACTAAACCACCGTCCTCTGTTCGAATGAAACCTCAGTCCATAGACAAACAGGCATAACACTCGCAAGTTTTTTTTTATCGAACAAGCATTTACCGGTCAATTTAAAAGTATCGTAGTTGGTAGTACCACCACCTGTGGCGCGCATAGTCAATTCCCTTGCATTTGACGTTTCCACACTACCGCCATCTGTTCAGCGTTCTACCAAATATATCATATTAACAATATGATCCATTCATGCCTTTTCCAAATGTTGCAATGGCTACCCGCAAAAATTCCATCTAGCGTTGAAACAGGTCAGCAACAATCATTCAATTACAATCGAGGTGTGCGAATATAGCACTTATTACAAAAGTAAGAGTCAAATTATTTTCATTAATTACATTGTGTATATTGCTTTAAAATTTGTCTGACATGTTTACCCCTCGTGACGATAAACAAATACATTGGGAGCCTTTTTGGCCACAGAGGTGCTTTCATCGCTAAAAATTCGGTTCGCCAGCTTAGCGAAAGAGTGGATCATATTGTTAATATAATATATTTGGTTCTACCCACCACAGTGTACTCAACAGATGGTGGTAATGTTTAAGCGACGATGTTTTACAGTGAGAAATATTCAATGTGTTATGTCTGCTCAGACCATTCAAATCGAAACATCGAAATCGGCTTTTTGAATGATAGCTGCAACCGGATGATTTTCCTTTCGAATACAGGATACAAATTGTTATAAAAAGGGATGTGTCTTGAGTTGGGATACGTAATCCTCTCTGCAGAATGATAGTTATCTTAAATTGAAATGCATTTGGTATTGGTTCAGCCTCTTAACGCAAATCATTCAAAACGATGATGTAAATAATTCGAACGTCATTTGCTGCTCTGTTAAGGTTAATTTTCTTAACTAAGTGTTTGGGGTATGTGTTGGCATGTGTTTGTTTTTCAGAGCAACTATTGGCCAAATTTGAGTGCACTAGGACCCCTGACGATAATAGGTTAAGGTATTGCCGAAGCCAACTTTTCCCCTATCATCCTTTATTTGGAGGACAGTCATATGGATGCTCATCAGTTGATGACGAATTCAACCATAAAGAAATCATACGAAATTCGACAGCATATTGTTAAGGGCTCGAGCAATACAATAATCAGTCGAAGTATTGCGGATGTTTTGGCTTAGTGTTAGCTTCGTGTCTGCCATCGGCGAATACACTGTACACAAACATCATCCTCTGATCGAATGAAACCTCAGACCATTCAAAACAAAACACCGAAATCGCTCTTTCGAATGATACCTGCAACCGGATGACGGTTGTTTTGAAATCAGATGATTTTCCTCTAGAATACAGGATGAAAATTGTTATGAGAAGGGATAGGGCCTTCAGTTGAAATGCGTAATGCTCTCTGCAGAATGACAGTCATACTAAATGGAAATGCATATGGTATTGGTTCAGCCCCATAACGCAAATCATTCAAAACGATGATTTAAATAATTCTATCGAATGTCATTTGCTGATCTGAGCTGACAAACGAGGTGGAAGCATATGCATCGCTATCAGAGCTGTTACGAACATAGGTAAAGGATAAAAACCAATGTTTGGCTAATTCGTGGTGGAGGACGTTTCCTCCACCACGAAAAAATGTTGTATCCATAATGGAATGGCTTATTATGGCTATTCGGTATGGAAATGTAGATAATAAAATTATAAATCTAATTAAAAGCACTTGCATGTCACACTATTCTTAAATGTTTGTTCTCGGAGTGCCGTATGTTTTATAGCTAATTTTCAAACGAAAATCATCCTGTATTTTGATGACAGTCATATGGAGGTTCATCATCTGACGACGAATTCAACCATAAGAAAATCATTCGAAATTCGAATGCATATTGTTAAAGGGCTCGAGCAATGCAATAGGCCTTTTTAATAGAAACTAAACGATCGATTCTGCCTCTGGTGGTGAATAGGAGAACGTCAAAAAGAGTGTTGTGAGCATACTTTTTTGCCTTGAGACATAGGAAGCGGAACACTTTTTTACTTTTCCTGATAAATTGATTCATCTGAGATGCTGCAAAACTTAATCTACAGTTGAAAAATTTAATTCTGTAACGTTTGTGAAAAGATCCTGCTGGTGTTCAGGAATATTTTTGTTGAGAAAAATGGAAAATTAGAAAAGTGCCTTAGTGGTTATGATCTTCCGGATTTCTTGTGTGTGAATCAGTTCAGATTTGTGGAAAATCGTACAATAAGACAATTACCGATGGAAATTGGCAAGATTTTGAATGAAGAATGCTGTTATTTGCGTTGGGGAAAATACTTATTCTGATGTAAACAAACGGTTTGGTTGACGTTTCATCTCGAATTCACGTGGCGCACTCTACGTTGGTGGTGCATTAAAAAGGCGTATACCTTAACCTATTATCGTCATGGGGGTAAACAACATCCTTGAGAGCTCAATTTTGGCATGTGTTTGTTTTTCAGAGCAACTATTGGCCAAATTTGAGTGCTCTAGGACCCCTGACGATAATAGGTTAAGGTATTGCCGAAGCCAACTTTTCCCCTATCATCCTTTATTTGGAGGACAGTCATATGGATGCTCGTCAGTTGATGACGAATTCAACCATAAAGAAATCATCCGAAATTCGACAGCATATTGTTAAAGGGCTCGAGCAATACAAGAATCAGTCGAAGTATTGCGGATGTTTTGGCTTAGTGTTAGCTTCGTGTCTGCCATCGGCGAATACACTGTACACAAACATCATCCTCTGATCGAATGAAACCTCAGACCATTCAAAACAAAACACCGAAATCGCTCTTTCGAATGATACCTGCAACCGGATGACGGTTGTTTTGAAATCAGATGATTTTCCTCTAGCATACTGGATGAAAATTGTTATGAGAAGGGATAGGGCCTTCAGTTGAAATGCGTAATGCTCTCTGCAGAATGACTGTCATACTAAATGGAAATGCATATGGTATTGGTTCAGCCCCATAACGCAAATCATTCAAAACGATGATTTAAATAATTCTATCGAATGTCATTTGCTGATCTGAGCTGACAAACGAGGTGGAAGCATATGCATCGCTATCAGAGCTGTTACGAACATAGGTAAAGGATAAAAACCAATGTTTGGCTAATAAAAAAAAAATTTGTATCCATAATGGAATGGCTTATTATGGCTATTCGGTATGGAAATGTAGATAATAAAATTATAAATCTAATTAAAAGCACTTGCATGTCACACTATTCTTAAATGATTGTTCTCGGAGTGCCGTATGTTTTATAGCTAATTTTCAAACGAAAATCATCCTGTATTTTGATGACAGTCATATGGAGATTCATCATCTGACGACGAATTCAACCATAAGAAAATCATTCGAAACTCGAATGCATATTGTTAAAGGGCTCGAGCAATGCAATAATCATTCGAAGTATTGCGGATGTTTTGGTTCAGTGTAGTAAAGAGAGATTGGCAAATCAAAGTTGGCACTCGTGGTGAATAGAAGAACTATGAAAGTGATGCTGGTGTCAAAATTTCACACAATTTTATTTTGCAAATCGAGCAACTTATCACTCACG